TATCTTGTGTGATTGATTTATTGTCAAGTGTAAAGGGATTATGTTATTTTTTAATTTATTTTTTTGATTTTTAGTAGTAGCTTTTCAAATAGATTATATATAATTAGTAACAACAACAATATATGTCACTTGAAGGTTTTCCAGGCTTAGGAATTGTGTTTGATAGATGGTTTATTAATAATCGAGTTAAACAAGCTGCTAATACCTATTCTACAATCTAAAATGAAATAAATTTTTGAGAGGTCTCTATACACACACACACAAGATTGTTCTCACCTATATATTTCATCAAGTTCATGTCCAAATATACCATTATTTGGGTTATAACGTTAGAGAAAAGCTCGTGCCTCGCAAAGATTCTGATAAATAACTGAACAATTTAATCCACAAGAAGCACTACAGGCATAATAAAATCGTCTGCAGCCGCTACCAAACAAAATATGAATAATGGTTTGGTTTGTGTATAATCCCGAAATTTATGAGATATGCTTTTATTTCGTAAATTGATTTACGTATTAGAGTTCGTATATTTAAAAGGCTTTCTATTATACAGGATACGAAAAAAATAATTCAATAACAAAAGTTTTTAGAATACAGTTTATTAATATTAAAGAACATTAACAAATAACGTTGTTGGAGATGGCCTCCCAGCAAATATTTTTGATATTATTAACTATAACTCGACTTATTGAGGAAATTATTACGTACAATTGACTAGAAAAATATACTTGCACTTTAAATTTACCAAATGGTTCTAATTTATGTATAAATTTACATAAATTATAACAAAAAATCTATCTCGTACACATATCTGCTTAAAAGTAACTTTAACCCAATCAGAAAGGGAAAAAAAACAAAAATAACCAAAAATTACCTCATAGGTAAATTTCTTTTAAAGAAAAATTAGGTACCATAATTAGATAACATCTACCTGTTTGGCAACTAAAAATCTTTATAGAAGAATAACCTACTAAGTAGATTTGATTGAACATTTTTCCTAACTTTATACCTCTATGGTAACCTATTTGGATGCTTTATTTACTCTACTTTAAAGTAATATTAGGTCGATATTGTAGAAAAATTATGCCTTGTTTATCTACTTAATTTCAACCAAATAATCCATTACTCATTTAGTTGACCTAAAAATCGTCCTGAATAAATAAATATTAACTTTATTATAGCAATAACCTGAAAAATCTACTACAAAATAATTTCACCTATAAACCACCAATTTAAAACCTAGCCATACATAACCTATTTGTAAAATGTTTAAACACAGTATATGGAATTTTTACCATAACATTAAAAATAACATACCTCTAACAAATAATAGCATTGAAGCATGGCACTGGGGATTTTTAACGCAAATTAATGCAGAAAGGCCTTCTATTTGGTGTTTTTTAAAAGGAATAATTAGAGAACAAGGCATGACTGAACTCAAAGTAATAAAGAAAAACACAGGCGATAAGCCCGAAAAAAAGAAAAAAAAATATAAAGATACATGTCAGCGTCTTAAAAATATTATTAAAACATTTGATAACGAATGTAATAGTAAACAATTGGAACAACATATACAGGGTGTTATTGAAATACACGTATATATTAAAATGGTAGTATGTAATGACCAAAAACGATTGGCACCAATTTTAACTTCAAATTCTAAAATTTAAATATTGTGGAAGAGTCCCCTTTTCCGACCTACTAGTTTCCATATTTAAAGAAGTAAAATAAATCGAAATTGAACTTACCCATAGAAATTGCACTGTTGCCGTAGCAAAACCAATTAATTCAAAATAAAGTTTATTACAGTAATTGTTCAAAATGCCGTCCATTATTATTTACACACACTTGCAATCGTCTTTCCAAAGAACTTTGAACATTAGAAATTAGTCTTGGATTTTGTCGTAGTTCCTCGGCTACCGCATTAACTTTATTGGTTAATTGTTCAACACTTTTAATAGGTTCATTATAAACCAGTTGTTTTATGTGACCCCACAAAAAGAAATCGCATGGATTTAAGTCCGGAGATCTGGGAGGCCACTTAGTAGGTCCATTTCTGCCTATCCACTTTTGAGGAAATCTAATGTTCAAAAACTGCCGTACGTTTAAATCAAAGTGAGGAGGAGCGCCATCTAGTAGGTACCACATCCGTTGCCTTAATTGTAACGGTATCTCTTCTAGGAGTACTGGCAAAATATCTTCTAAAAAGTGGAGATATCCTGGCTCATTTAATCTGTTCGGGAGAACATAAGGCCCGATTAAATACTGATCTATTATGCCAGCCCAAACATTTATTGAAAATTTTCTTTGATGCCCAGTTTCCCTAATGGCGTGAGGATTTTCATCACTCCAAATATGCGTATTGTGCATATTGAACACGCCATCACGAGTGAATGAAGCCTCGTCAGTATACAATAATATTTTTAGAAAATCAGGAATATCAACACATTTTTGAATCATCCATTCACAAAACTCCACTCTCTTTTCTTCATCACCTGGATATAAGGCCTGGACTTTTTGGATGTGATAAGGATGTAAACCTGGTTCTTTAAGTGTCCGCCACACAACAAATGAGGACACTCCAATTTCAAGACCTAGTCTTCTACAACTTAATTGAGGCCGGTTTTCAACAGCTTCCAATATTTCTTCTTCGGCCGCCAATGTTCTTTGTGTTCTTGTTCTCCCTCGATCTGCATTGACACTCTCAAATTTTCCATGGTCTCTTAGATGCTGAACAGTTGAAATAAACGTACGACAGTCCGGAATTCTCCGATTTGGAAACCGTTCGCGATACAGGATTTGTGCTTGCCGAGAATTTTCTCCAGCTGCCCCATAAACCAGCACTATATCCGTTAGTTCAATATTCGTAAATAGTGGCATCGTAAAAAAATATTTAAAAGTAATCGTAACAACACTTTTTACCAACTTGGAAATGACGCGCTCGTGTTAGCCAGATTCGTAATCAACTAAAATTTTAATAATCTATAGTTTCTAAAATGTATAGTTTAAAAACAATCATTTATCAAATATTCTAGTTTTTTGATAACGAGGGTAGTAAAAACCAGTCTTCGGAAATAGAAATTAATTCGAAAATCTTGGCAACATGGTTATTTCTTACAAGACTAGTTTTCTTATCATCTGACAAAAACTTGCATATTAATTACTGTTGATGTTTAAAATAGGTAAATAAACCTAATTTATATAGGTCATCCTCAACATATCAGTGAAGTACGTTTGTTTTAGAATTAATTTTCAAAAATTAATAACTCCCTTAATAAGGGGTATTTTTAAAAAATAATATTTTTCTACATTCAGTGGGGATCTGCGCAATACCCAGTTTTAATATGTACGTGTATTTCAATAACAACACCCTGTATAGTCCAGTAAATGAAGGCTCAAAAAGCACAAAAGCTGCAGATAATTCCTACAATTTTCTTATTGGGTGGGATTTGTAGGTCTGTTAGCGTACTTTCAAATGCCCAATTGGCCTGGAGCTGAACCAGACCTCTGTAGGGAAAAATGGGGCCTAAAGGTCCTGAAAAGAGGTTTTTTCCGTTATTTTTTTTTTTTAATTTGGTGTCATCGGCGTCGACTACTACGGCCATTAGCCTCGTGTTCTGTGTAGGCTTTGTTACTGTTTCCCAGCGCCACTTTAGGAACAGCACTGTTAATTAGAACCCAACAGTGAATGGTCGAGTGGGGAATCCTACATCTTCCAAAATATGTAATTTAGAGATTTTTTGTTCAAAAAACAAATGAAGATCATTTGAATTGCTACAAAAATGGTCCTTATGATTTTTTTCGCCAGATTGATATTTTTCGCGCAAACGGAGGAACAAAAAGTCGTATTTTTTAGACCCATGAAATGTGTCAGTTTCTCATCGAATTTCAGCCCAGTTGTCTTCGAAATAGACGGATCTCGGTTGTTTGGAGTATGAAGAAGATCTGTAGATGCCGCCAGCATATTCACGCCATTCGCGAAATTATAAGATCCACAAATGGCCATCCCGGGATTATAGATGCTCCTAGAACTATTGAGTCATATCATCTCTTTTTTTTACCAAATTACCTTCTCAGTAGCCTGTACTTCATTCGCGCACTTGAAGGACTATCCCACAAAGGGTGAGAGGTGCGAATTTATCGCAAATTTCTAAAAATCAACTTTTTCTTGTGGCGCATTTTCCAAGTATCCCGTCTTTTGCTAAGGCATTAACAAAATTTAGAGGTTGGTGCCTATGGGGTCATTGCCATTTTTTGCGAATTTTTCGCATTTTTTTTGCAAGAAATCAGGAGAAAATTTTTTGAATTGTGTCTTTCAGAAACTTTATTTATTATTGAAAAATTACAAAAATTACAAAAATTCTAAAAAAAAACTACCTCAGAACTACAATCTTCATTGTCAATATCATTCTCGATGATTTCTGTCTGGCTTTGTTGGGCCTCTCCGATGTCTCTTTCCATTTCTGTGGGCATCATTATAGTTTTTACATTGGGTTGACTGGCATGAACCACAGATGGATGAGCATCGTAAGCCTGCTCTCATACGTGATCATCTTGCCGATTGTTCACAATCGGTTTTGCACTGACAGAAGATCAGCTTCAAAAGCTTCGGGTCAGCTGGTTCACTTGTAGTTTGGATCGGTACAAGTACATCTTTCGTGCGCTTTTATCCCCATTCCTCTGGTGACAGTTGGTTTGAGAGCCAATGCTGCACTTGCAAATATACACGGTAAAAATGTTGCCTTGCAGCTTCAGTAGTGGGGGGAAGACTTGCTAGGTTGATTGCTTTTTGCTGGTGAGATAAACGTTGGAAAGTTCTTAATCTCAGAGTTGTGAGGCTGTTTACTTTATCTGGCGCGTTATAAATCGAGAGAAGAACGAGTAGTCCATTTGAGAATACGGACTCTTGAGAGAAATGTGGATCTTTGAAATTCTTTATAGCTGTTTTAAGCCCGGTGTTCCGTCCCATCAATGTATTCAAATTTTCAACTACTAATTTTTTACCTTTTCTGAAAAAAGCAGAGGTTGTGTCTGTCCCAGTGACTGCATGTAAAAAGAGAATATTTTCCCGTATGAATGGGCGTGGAAGAAAATATTTGCTGACTTTTGTGACCCTTCTCGACTTTCAGGAAATAAATTTTCTGATCTGGTGGGGTCAGCCCTGTAATCAATACTAGAATATCAATGTCTTCAGCTACTACTAATACTGCTGGGCCATTGCGAGAATATTTCTGCAATGCTGTTTGAACTATCAATACGTCCGCATCGTCTACCGCCTGGATAACAGCAATGCCATTTTTTTCCAGAGCCTGCTTCAAATATTGTATAAACCGAATTTTATTATTGACATTGAATAAAAACTTGTCTTTTTGGACCGTCAAAGACATGCTGGGGGTGAATTGTATGTCAGGACACGACTTGTTGTGTGCCCGCCGAAAACGTTCCATCCCTTTTATGCTATCGCGATTCAATTCGTAGCCATCAAATACCACAGTCATTCCCGGGGAATAGTGGTCGTTCAGATACTTGACGTATCTACTGAAAATTTCATCGAATTTTTCCATCAAGTTCCATGGTACCCGATGTATCAACATTCCCCCATCGATTACATGAACGCAATTCTTCTTATCAACGGGTACTGTTTCTGGTGGGAAAATTTTCAATAATGCTGATTTCGCGGTTTTTCGCATCACACCGTTATCAAATATGCTCATCGAAAAAGGAGCTAGTTCATATGCAAGGTGATTTTCAAGATCTGCTTTGCACTCTTGTGTTAAACAAATTCGCTGGAAAATCATTAAGGGATCGACAGCTAGTGTATCATCGTGCATTTTCGCCGAACTGGGGTGACGCGTGAGAGGGGTGACGCGATGTTTCCGCTTGAATGAAATTTTATGGAAGCTTTTACCATGAACTTGGTTCTCTATACTAGCGGTATTCTTCGGTGATTTTCCCAAAAATTTCATCGTTTTTGGGTCTTTTTGTTGGAATTATTTTTCTTGAAATTATGAGTGTACAATTCAGTTTCCAAGAATTTCCTTGGAGAGGGCATAAAAGCGTTCCCAAGACATTCTTGGCAGAACCATGGATTGGTTTATACAACTGCAAAATTCAGTGCTTTCAATCATCAGTGGGCGGTAACCGTTAAACAAACAATATCCAGCTTGATAGCATTAAAAATTCAGAAACCGACATGAGGTAACAGCTCATTTGGAAGACACAAATAACTTATACGTCATCCATGGATTATACCATTGAAATAGGGATGGGAACGTCGAACCAAAAATTCACAACTTTGATAATGTGACCAACCAAGATAACAAGAGTCCTTATTGACGATGGTCGTTGTCAGTTGCAATAGTTTTGTTTCACTTGCTACCTGAAGTTGGAATGAAACCTTGGTTTCGTTGAACTCGAAGTTTTGTTACAAGCTTTATTGCAGAGAGAAACCTCTAGGATTTGATTTTGTCAGTTGACGTTGTTTTTGTTAGGTTTTCAACGGTTTATTTTCATTGAACATGTATAAGAAATCATTGGAAATTACCTGTAATTTTAACCAAATCTGTTATATTGTACATGCTCTCGTCAGTTGTTGCAATATGAGATTTCACTTTGTTAAATTTGTCCATAGTTGCATCAAGACAGGGACGTCCCGCAGTTTTGGCATTATCTTGACTTATTCGGCCTGTATCCAGGAACCGTACTCGACAGGCCAGATGATACTTAGCTTGAGCACTCACTAAATCAAGAGTGGAAATTCTCTCAGACAACACTCTACAGTCTTCAACTTGAAAGTTTATTTGGATTTTGGCGTCGAATCAATTTCTGGAATTCTGAATCCGTGACCATTCTCATGGAAACTCGTTTTTTAACTCCTTTTTTTATTTTCACTTGATTTGCTGGCAACCCACAAAACAAACAGTTCACTACAAAGTCAAATCTTGAAGACTCTCGAACCTTCTTTCTCTTGGGGCTTATTAAATGGTCCAGTGGCTTAGTTGGTAGCGACGTGATATTTGGATTAGTAAAATAGCCTCGAGACTTCGCTGTATATCGCTTCTGACAAGTTCGATGCATTTGCAAGGAAGATTTTCCTTGCAACATTAAATGATGGTTGTCTTTTCGCTCCTTACTGGTGTTTATTAATGTCTCTAGCCCACGAGTTACAATGACGCCATCGTACACGATGGTTTCATTACATATAAAACATACCGTTTCAATTCCAGAATCCGTTTCCATCTTTCTATAAGAAAAATTTTTTTGTAAATAAAATTGTCACAACAATCAAATCCATAAACTTGGAGAAAACAAACAATAGCTTACCCTCTGCTCCAAAAAATAACGTTCAACAATTAGATTACAAGGAAAAATACTGTGAAGAGAACTTCAAACTCCTTATTTTTTGCCTCTTTTAGTACTAACGAGACAACAATTTTCGATAAATATATAGTAATCTTTCTGTATAAACACCAAATTTTTACAAGGAAAATAATAACAAAACAAAACAAAGCAACGTGCACCACGAGTCGAGCAGACGGCTGCACGTGTTTGTATATTATGACGCTATATACGATCATGGCGCTTCGGCGCACGCGCAGTGCACACAAAATGCCGCAATGGAAAAAATTTGATGAAACATCCAGAACGAACGCTTTGGAAGCACGTTTTTATATTAAAGGAGATTAAATATAGGGATACATTGGTATTAATGACATATATCAATCATTAGGTCAGAATATCCCCTTTACTTTGGTACAAGCATTAATCCCCAGAAAATAAAGAGGAAAAAGAAAAAATTATTCGAAAAAAAATGTCTGATTTTCAAGTTAGTGACCAATTTTTGTGATCTAAACGAAACTGGTTTGTTTAAGTAAAAAACAAAATATGCAGGCAAGAAGAAGATATTCAGACCTTTAAAATGATGTACCTAGTAAAGGGATTAGCCCTGTTGAATCGATGCAATTCGCGTTTTTTGGACAGTTTCCGGAACTCCGAAAATGACCGAAAATCGATGCCGTGCACATGTACTAAAAATATTTTTCAAAAATAAATATTTTTTGATCATTTTATTCGTTAATAGTATACATTTAAAGAATGTTTTTAAATAATTTATTTTTCGTTCCATTGCTTTTCAATCATTTACTTTTTCGATCATTTTATTTTCGATCATTTTATTTTTTATCATTTACTATTTCGATCACTTGTTTATGATCAAATTATATTCGATCTTTTGACTTTTCGATATTTTTGAAATTCGATCAAAATGTTTTCGATCTAAAGCTATTCGAACAAGAACATTCGATCAAAAACATTCGAACAAATGTCCGAGACCCAAATTTTACTTACCATTTTTTAGTTTTTATTATAAATTTAATCATTTTCACAATTTGTTACACATGTCAAATAAAAAAATAATTTTTTAAATACCTTTTATTGGCAAAAAACAAGTGAACTAAAATTTTTATTTTATAAGATATAACAAATAGCTACAATAAAAGAATGATTAGTCAGAGTTTTGAAGTTATATACAATTTATACAAGTGCAAAAAGTGTTTATTGCACGCGACGTGAAATTGTCCAACGAGGCGACACTAAGTGCAGAAGAATAAAAAGCGTAATTTAATGGCAAAATATTTATTAACTAATAATTAGCATCGATTTACATTGAAAAAGTACTATAAATATGTTAAGAAAAATAATTTAACCAAAACTTTAGGAACAACTGTGTTATGAACAATAATTAAGTTTAAACGTTGTTTTTGTCACTAATATTAAAAGTAAATGTACAATTTGTACAATTTTCAATATTAATATTTTTTAGCGAATTATTTTTTAATTGTACTTCTTCATTTGTTATTTTTCTAAATAATGTACTTTTACTAGTACTTGGTATCTGTATAGTGTCAGTTTCTTCAGGCTGAAATATTTGTTTTGAAATATTGATTTTATTGGCTAGTGATTGCTCTACGTATTTATCTGCCACTGTCGACGATTTATATCCGACGTGTCGTTTGAGCTCTAGTATATCTGCTCCAGTATCTGCAAGAAGTGTGGCGGAGGATCTCCTGAAGCAGTGCCCTGTGTATAGCTCAGGATTCTCCAAATGCAGAAATTTTGAAATTTCATATGGGATTTTAGGTGTTCACACCAATTGCTTGGACAGTGCACTTTTCATTTCGGTAATTGATTAAAAAACGTTTATGCGGAATGTGATTGATGCGTAATTTTGTGTATTTATGATATATATCGAGCAAATTTATTCTTTTTTCCACCTCACCTCCAATTACAAAACTTCGTTTTTTATCAGTTTTTGATTGTGGAAGTTTTACTATTAATATTGAGCCTACTTCTTCTATGTCATCCACACTCAACTTATGGAGCTCATCTCTACGACATGCCCCTGTGATGCCAAATATTGCAGCGACCTATAACAAATTGTTTATAAATATTTTACAAAAGTTACATAATTTGTAACGGTTGGAACCGTTTTCGTTATTTTGAAACCACCATCTCTACACAAACGTCATTTGTCGTTTTATGCCTTGTGTCAAAACTCAGGTTGTCATTTCGATTTACCTCTGTCTTCGAACAAGTTGAATTATTGAATTTTAATTATCTTTTATTTAGTACATCCGATGTACTAATTGTCTTTAATATTTTTAATGACCGTCTGATTTTATAAAGGTAAGTTTCGTACCGATATTTTGTTGAAAATATATATTTTGTACAAGAAATTCTAAGTAAAATGTCAAATTTGAAACGTGACACATTGAATCACACAAGACTCACGTTTTATATAATTTTATCTATTATTTTGTTAGGAAAGAGATACTATGCTTTATCATATTTAAATATGATAAATGGGATTTTTCCTTTTCATATTAATTTTAGCCTCTGTGAAAATATTCATATAATAGTTTAAATGTTCATTTAATAGTAAAAAGCATTATCTGTTTCCTATATACTCTTCCTAATCCCTTCTTGATATTTTTAACTTTTTCCTTGTAGCCTAGCTGTATATAGATGGTCCTATAGAAGTTGAATATCGATGGTTTCAGTAGAAGTTCAGTAGAAATTATATCGATGGTTATATAGAAATTTATCGAAAAAGATTGTTAGGAAGAACATTCCAGCTGCATGTGTAGAAATATTGAAATTTAGAAGTTTGGTTCCAGCTACAGAGGTTGTTTCAAGTATTTCAAGAGGTTTAGTTCGAGCCTTCCAAAGAAATGTACGAGATATAACTTTACCTAAGAAGAATTATCAGTTGGTGATATCCAAGTCTATTATACAAATCCCCTGTACCTGCTACCTGTTATACCACAGATAAGTTATAATAAATCATTTAAATTTGAATAATTAAGTCTCTGTGAATTAGAATTTGTCGCTACCTTATTTAATTATAATATCATAAAGGTTAGTGATTTTCTATATTTTCATCATTAATCGCTTGCCAAGTTTAGAAAGTTTAAATATAGTGGCGTCCTACATTCTTTTTCAAAGTGATACGAGTTGTTTAATAACCTGACCCACTCCCCAAATAATAAGAGCTTAAGACACTATAAAAATAGATAAAATAACAAGATCATATTACAAATTACCGACTTACTTTTTCATCAAATATTGGGAGTCCGGAGCTTCTTTTAGAAATTTGTAAAAGTGTTCCCTGTTAATTACTTTTAACTTTTTGCGTGAAATCCTATAGAATTCTGCTTTATGAATGCCATTAGTTTCTTATAATTTTTAATATTAAGAAAGGCAAGCTCTCACCATTAAGTACTCAGACCAAAGTGATGAGGGTTTAATATTATGCGATCTTTTGGAAAAATGCGCACGAAGAACATTTTTTTATAAAATTTACAACTTTTTTGTCGAAGCACCATTCTTTGAATTGATTGCAAGTTATTTCATACTGTTTTCTTGATTTAGTATGTAATAAGTTTAATGACGCTGTATTTGCTATTTCACTGACTTCTGGTGGAGTCCCAACGAATTTTTCTTCATCTCTGTCATCTATTTTTCAATTATATTAAAACTTTAAAATGCGTACTTAATTGTCAGAATTAATTTTTGACTGACGTTTCTAGAACTGCAGTTGTATTATCCAAATCATGATAGCAGTGATCATTAGCGTCTATTTCTTATGCTCTACAAATAAACCCAGCATTGACCTTCAAATGATTTAGCGCCCGCAAAAGTGACCGTTTCAATAATTTTAGCGATGTTGCAATGTAATTTAATTAAATAAATATATTCATGGTAATACCCGAGAATACCTATCAAGGAGAAGCGACAGCTTGGTGTTTTCAGTGTACTGTTTTGATACGCGCATGTGCGAAAATTAGTTATGTATCACTCAAAATCATGTTATCTGTCAAAGTCAGTCCAAGTTGTGTTTAGTCTGTGAGCTGTTAAGCAGAATATAAATGTGTTTATTTAAGACTTTTCATTTCAATTATTCAATTTGAGCTGTGTCCAGGCCGTTGGAGTCTATGCCGGTCGGCGTAGCCAGGTATGAGTTGATGTTTTTTGGTGGCGGCAAAGCCGCTACCCTACGTTAAGTGGTTGCTTCGTTTTCTTGTTGCATATTTATGGACCGGTATAGGCAATCACAATTTTCCATTAACTACTAATTTTATCACAATCCGGCAACGTTGCAATTATATTTTCCAAATTTGACAGAACACATAACAAATTAACAAGCACGAACGAACTGAACAGCTGTCGTTATCACTTCACCTTACTTCACTAGACGGCGCCACAGAAGCAGGTTCATTTGTAGAGCACAAGAAATAGACGCTAGGTCGTGATCGTGTACCTTTGTTTGAGGTATTTATTTACGGTTGTGTTCATAATTTGTAATGACATTTTTAAAAAAATACATTTTTTATTAATTTATGTATTAAATGATGGACAATATTATTTGGCGTCGATTTGAATATTTATGTTGGTCATGATCATAAAACGCTGTATTTAAATGTTTTTTCACTAAGTATAGTTCAATAAAGTTTTGTTTTTTTGTATGAACGTAGAAAAATTTTATTTTAAACTACTTGATTATATTTTCTAAATAGGTAAATTACCTGACGTTATTGATTTTGAAATTTAATCTCCTGAAAGGTAAACATTTTCTTCTAATTTCTATCAAACTGTCATTAAGGTTACTTAAGTGGTTATTAACATGAAAGTATATAAACCACATACTTTGGTTTTCTTTTACTATACGGAGAATGGTCGCACTGC